CAGAAAATCAAAGTAAGAAGTTTAAGACGGAACAATAATCCATAGGATTATTATAGATCAGGAGACGTTTTCTGTAAACCTCGTCAGAACAGGATTACCAGTAACTATCATCCTTGCCCAGACAATAAAGACAGGAGAAAGATTTGCCTTTAAAACTGCTGGCTACCTACAGTGTTCTCCCACTTTCAGTTGGTGTTTTAAACATGTAGACCTCAAACACATCAGGCTCAGCAGAGCTCCCAGAGATGCTGAGGCAGCAGAAATGGACAGATCCCATCTGTCCCAACTCAGAGCTCAGTGGGCAGCACGGAGGAAACCCCTGAAACTAAATCAAACCAACCGTGACAAACATGGACTCTGAATAATTCATTCATAGTCTTTATTTAACCCGAGTGAGAAAAACTGCCAGTCAGCTTCAGATACACCAGAATAAAGATCCTCCAAATCTTTTAAACAGAATCTGAACCATGCAGATTATGTCCTTCTAATATTGATAAACCAGTGAAACCAGAACAAACACGTCTCAAGTGACATTTGTAACTACAACTTGAGATTTCAGGATTTTCAGGAATAGAAGCAACCAAAACCCAGAATCATTGGAAAATTGAATTCATTCATCCATTCAAAAAATATAAGAACATCTGGCTTGATGCTGCTTGGTTCTGTTTTTATTTTGGTGAACACTATTCTCCATTAAGGCTGCTCAGTGGAGCAGTGGGTAGCTCTGCAACAAGTAGGTTCCAGGTTAGATTCCCGGCCCGGGGTCTTTCTGCATGGAGTTTGCATGTTCTCCCCACATGGGAGGGGTTCTCCCTGTGCATGCGTGGGTTCTCTCCAGGTACTCCGGCTTCCTCCCACAGTCCAAAAACATGACGGACCACGCTTCAATATTGGGCATAAATCAAAAATATCTGCATCAAGCTCACTGCGACACACTGCTGCAGGAGGATAACCAGCCCTTAAGGCCACGTGGTCAGGTGGAAATGACGGATAAATCTGCACATCGTCAGTAAAGTAGAGGTCTTTGATCTGATCCAGTGAGGTGATGGAACAGATATGGAAAAGGAAAGAGGCCCCAAGACTAAGCCTTGGAGGACCTTTCCCTGTAAAGCCTTACATTGTGTTACAGGAAGCGTCAAAAACAGCTAATAAGTTGATGAGGATGGGTACTGAGGACTTGGCTGAAATTCTGGCTGCAGGACACTGGATTGTTAATCCTAATCTGATGTCTTCTCTTCTCTATTTTACACTGTGTGTCATCCATTTTAAACCTGGTTTAAGGTCACAAAAATCAAATGATTTACTAGTTGGAAATAAAAAAAAATGACCTTACAGAGTATTCCCCACACCGTTTAAAGATGATGACAGACTAAAGACAGCAAAAATGATCAGATCTGTGAAAACAAAGATTTATTTGTGCATCTGTCATTATTCTCATCTGAAATCTCTGTTTAACAACAACAGGATTCCGCAGAGATGCTGTGGACCTGACTCAGCTTTCTCCCTAACGACAGCGTCCTGGTTGCTATGCAGGATGCTGAGCTGAGCTCTGATTGGACCGGGAGCATCATGCCTCTGTTAAAGCTGGAAGCAAATTACAGGAAAACCAACTCCCTTATTTGATTCGTTCGTAAACACAAACACTGAGGGAGGAACACTTCCTTCATTTAAGATTCCCTAAATGTTTTGGATGAAGGGAAGCTTATGAGGAGATAATCTGATTTAAGCTTGTGTTACCGTCACACAGCTGTAATAAACACACAAATCCAAAGAAATACCAAGAAAAATCAGACTGCTCCTGTGGTTTGATGCTTAGAAGTGAAGCTTAGAGTGTTCAGAGTAGAAAACGCTAGAAGCTCAGTCTGCTCCTCTAACGTAATCAGCCTCACAGCTGCTGCCTCACAGCTGAATCATCAATCACAAGAACCATAATTTGGCTCCCAGTTTCTGCCTGAGAGCGACCTGCTGACCACGACAGACTAATCAAATGTTCTCCATCTAATCAACCCCCCCACCACCACCACCACCA